TCAACTCTAGAGGGTCTGGTGTCGATTAGTCTAATGAGATACTTTTTGTCTTCAAAGGTGTTCTGATCCCAGGTTAAATGTTATAAATGCTAGTAAACAAACAGTCAATGCAAACCTCATTGATATTGTGACAGCACAAATGGGACATTCGGGAAAACAACAGATACAGTGAAAAGAGCAAAAAATAAGCAAAACACTAAGGGACCAGACGGTAAGAATCACAGTAAAGACTACCATTGTACTTTAACCATACACGTTGATTATCTCAAAGCAAATCAAAGGCACAATTACGTAATAAAAGATTCCCAAGTCAGCAGGGCAACTTTCAATTAAGGAGTAACAGTATTAAATAAACTATTAATCTAACTTAATAACTAGTATTCAAATATAGATTTCCGTTATTTAGTTAAGCAACTGATAATCCACACACAACCCAGACTGTCGGACATTTTTTGTCTATGCTTGCAAATTATTAATTTTTTCTTTAGAAATACATGGATACAAAATGGTAATGTGAGTAAACATAATCAACTTGCCGAGCCGTTATCTCCACAAAGTGATAGACTTTCTACAAGGCGGAGAAACCAAGAACATAGATATCAATTCAAAAAGCCTTTTATCTATTTTATGTATATTTTATTTGAGTGTTTAATGTAAAGAGCAGATGGAAATGCAAATGAATGCCTTACAAGCGATTCCAGCATGATGTGTTGTGAATAATAGAAGATATTGAACAAACGATGTGATGGACAGGGGTGGGAGGCTATAGGAGATAATATCAGTAAATCATCTAAGCCAGTCAATGTTTCAGATATATCCAGCTTATTGTCTCAATCCCAACAATCTGCTTACCCCTACCAAGCTTGACATGCAATGACAGCTTAAGCACGGAAGAAGAGTACAGCCTTACTAAAGATACTTTAGATATTGGAGTATTGTTTCCTTATGTTCTCTTAAATGTTTCATTTTCTAACTGTATTTCTCATTCTCATTATTTTGGTCTTTCTTCAATTGACATTTGTGCTTACATATTTAGCAAAGTAGTTTATTGTGATAATGGTACTTGATGGCATGGTAGTTGGAAGGGTATAAGTGTTTCTCTTCACGTAAGATTATTGTTTGAGATATTTGGGGTTTGTGATCTTTTTGACATGTGTACTCTTAGATGTTTTCTTTCTTGTGTTCTGTAACAATTTTTGGTCCTATTCCCTTGGCACTTGTTTTTGCTCAACGTTCCTTGTTTAGTGTAGTAAAGCCATTGTATTCTGTAACCTCTCTTCTCAACGTAATGTCTCTACTATACTATTTGTATATGTGAAAGTGGAGGGACGGCGGTTCAATTTGTTCAAAACATGTTTCAGTGACTGTCGATTTTCATGGAGTTTTGGTTTCATTTTGTAGCTTACATTTTAGTTTTACCGTTGTCTCAGGAACATGTATAGTTGGTGCTAATTGGAGTTTGTTAAATTGAAGACTCTCTGCAATCTACACTCTTTCCATACATCTTCTTGCAACAATGCGTTTTACTTTGCGTATTTTCTACCAATCTTTAAACAGCCTTCACATACCACCCACATTCTAATGGACAAGTGAAACGAAATAATTTTGGTCTTGTAACAGTTTTACTTCTCAAGTTTGCATCGTTTCACTATTGACCATACATATCTGATGATACGTATAGTTACATTCATTCAAACTTAAGATATTTCTAAAAAAAAGTAAATGATCCTCATGACGTTGTATGTGCTCTTTGTCAAAACATCTTCAACAACAGTTTACTCAAGCACACCATGCGAATCTAATGAATTCTGTTTGCTTCCTTCAATAATTTGGATATGATCAGCATTCAGGGTGGCCGGCCACGCCTTCTCAATCTCTTCTTTCATCTTGCTTTCAAATGTGATGTGATGGCTATCACAATGATCATCGATCATGCACCATTTTCCAATTTTAGGACACTTGTTTTTTATACATTGATTTAATAAAAAATACAATAGGCAATATTAGAAAAATAATATAGCCTGTTATTAAGACAAAACAGTAGAATACCTTTATCATTTACATAATTCATTTTATTTAACAAATGTAATGTCTCGAACAAAACATGATCCTATAATATAATTTAGTACTGATTGGTACCTACTTTACTGAACTTTACATGGATGGTAACAATCTATCTATTTAAGTGATTTTGTTTAAATCAGTTTTATGTATTAAAGGCTGCTCTTATCACATTTTAATTCTAGACACAGTATAGCATTCTATGTTTATGGTTCCAAAATGAAATGATCCAGTTCAATCAAAGACTCAGTATGACATTCTGTGTTTATGGTCCCAAAAAGGAATGTACCAGCATTTAGTGTTTATGGTTCCAAACTGAAATGGTCCAGTTCAATCATAGACACAATATAGCATTCTATGTTCATAGTTCCAAATTGAAATGCTCCAGGCCAATCATAGACACAGTATAGAATTCTATGTCCATAGTTCCAAACTGAAATGATCCAGTTAAATCATAGACACAGTATAGCATTCTGTGTTTATGCCCATGGTCCCAAAACGGAATGATCCGGTTCAAACAAAGTCACAGTATAGCATTCTATGTTTATGGTTACAAAATGAAATGAGTCAGGTAAATCAAAGACACAGTATGCTATTCTGTGTTTATGGTCTCAAAATGGAATGGTCCAGTTTAAACAAAGACACTGTGTAAGATTTTATGTTTATTGTTCTAAGATGAAATGTTCCAGTTCAAACAAAGACACGGTATAGTATTCTGTGTTTATGGTTCCAAACTGAAATGATCCAGTTCAATCATCGTATAGCATACTGTGTTTATGGCCCCGAAATGGACTGGTCAACTTGTTTTCTATTTACTTATTTCAATTCAACCACAAATATAGGACAGAGCACATAGTAAGATGAGTGGTAAATTCACCATTACATACTGACTTAATTGTAAGCAATGGCGTAAGACCATATTCTTTGATTCTATCATTTTACGTCATTAAAAATACACAACTGTAAAAATAAGAATAAAATATATCTACATGTTGTCAAGTACGTTCTGCAAATCAAGCCCATTGCCTTTTCTTATCTTATTTACCAGCCAACCTCAAAGTGAATCCATCTAAGAAAAACCTTGAGAAAATTTTCAATGCCGCAATCAGTTTTTAACAGTGTCTTTATTTTCCTTATCAAACCAATCCAATACCAATCGCCTATAGGCATTCTCGATAGTTTTAAATAATTAATGGCTTTGATGGTTGTTTAGGAGAGATTGGGAGGGGAATGTGGTCGCGATAAGGCCATGGTTTTTGAACAGTAGAAACAATTATAAAAAGAAATTAGAAATGAGTTAATTTCAATTCTATGTTGTGGTGTATGTATAGAAACATACAGAAATCAGCACAGAGTGTATATTACCAGATCGGCATTAGAATCTTTATCGTGAACAATACCATGAGGAATACTAGAAATAAGATAATAAAATTAGTATGGCAAAATATATTAAACAACATAGGTTTGTAAGATTCTAATAGCACCACATATCAGTCATACAATATACATACAACACAATACTTCCTGACTAAGAAGTCATCTACTATAAATAGTATGACAATCGTAAATTGGTCATCTATCTCGTGATCAATTATGGCTTCATTTACCATTTTTATAAGTGCTTTATTTGTTGATATTTGTAGTAAGGATGTGCCGATAAGGCCAATGCGCTACACACTACTAGTGAAGGTAACTAAATGATATGCTTAGAAAGAACTTTGGCTGAACACTGAACATCATTCTTTATTGAACACTCCAGCCATTGTTTCATAATATCAATATTCTCTTTTGCAATTTGAGACTCAAAACGGCTAAATATTTATATGTACAGAATGTAAAAATTTACAAACAAATAAATAAGAAAGTAGTGGAGTAACATAGGTTTTCATAACAACTTTTGGAATGGTACATGTGTTTTATTTACCCTGATAAATTGTTGTCGTCAGAGATTAGCATATAAATTACTTGTTATCAGAGTACAATAAGTATTACTTATAGTTTGAGATCCATGTTCACCAAAACACATTTTAATACATGGTGTCATGGTTACATTTTAAAAACAATATATTAACAGAGTTGTTAAGATTATGCTTTCGATCATCATCCTCAATTTCCAAGGTGAACTGCAACCTTGTGAATCAAGATGCTCGATCACACCTTCGAATAATTGCTAAGTGGAAACTATTAATAAACGTGGTATTCCGATTGAGTCAAGGTCAAATTTCAAAAAGATTAATCTTGAATCAAATCCCATATCACATGTCAAATGTAACACAACATAGCCTTAACCCCCACCCTCTGTCCCCATTACTCTCCAACACAGGTCTGAAAATATACGTGTACAAGGTGGTCAAAAAAATAAATTACCACACATTTTTGATTTGCCCTCATTCATTTATTTGTTGATACATTTCTGTCAAACTTCAGCAATATAAGTTACAGTAGATAGAAACAGATTATTAGTCACTGAGATATCCCTATTTACGTTTAGTGTCTAATAATAGAGAGTGTCCTCAATCCAAGCACCATTTTGCCCCGATACTGCTTGAATACGGATTGAGCACATTCTCCATTTTAGACACTTGGCGAAGATGAGGATATATCATATCAGTGACTATTAATCAGAGAAATCTGAAACTAAACAGGATAACATTTGTTTCCATATACTATATTTTGCTTAAGTTTGACAGAAATCAACAAAGATTGAGAGGAAATCAAAAGTGTATTGTTTTTGACCACCCTGTAAATGGGTAGGGGTTAACCAGAGAAGTGACGCAAGACTTATACAATGATGATTTGATACTGTCCGAGAAAAAATCTTATTGAACAAGAACCTTGAATATATTGGCTGCAGTCCCGTATCCAATTTTTATTAATGGGAGTGGGGGGGGGGGACTTTCCTGTTTGACAACTTTAGCCCAAAATCGCTCAGAATGGTGAAAAACTGCATGATTCTGAAAGAATTTTTCGCTCAAACCCCCAGAACCCCCTGGCTACGGGCCTTGTTTCTGCCAGTTGTATCAAAATAGTCGTTACTATAAATAATGTATACATCTATAGACAGTCGTGTATCCAATTCAGGATTAATTTGGCAATGGTTTGGTATCTACGGTGATATAAGACTTCAAGATATCTGTTCGTCAGTGGACGTCGGTGTAGTTGGACCGGGAGATAGATCATCTCCATTCTCGTGTTCACCATTCACAGTCTGTGCTAACTTATTCTCTTTCAGTCGTTTCTTTTGTTTCATTCTTCTGTTTTGGAACCAGATTTTCACCTGCACCTCATTTAGTCCTAAAGCCGCAGCTATTTCTATTCGCCTAGCTCGAGTAAGGTATTTATTAAAATGGAATTCTTTTTCCAACTCCGTTAACTGTTTGTTAGTAAAGTTTGTGCGACCTAAATTGTTCCCCGGGTTCACGTAAGTGAAGTCGGTCAACTTATCTGAAAATACACAAACAAACACACATTTAATTTTTATCCTTAACATATTAAGAGTGTAAGATGCAGAGAAGGAATACTGAAGAACTGAGAATTTAAGTTTCGAAAAAGATGCACAATTTTACATTTTCCTGTTCTCATTATTCCAGTATACCTTCAATTTCTCTGAAAAGTCCCATTTTCATTTCGGGACACAATCTTTCAGTTTTAAGGTTATATGGTAACAGTCTTAACAGTAGACTTTACAGGGTTTTGGACATTCTGCATCTTGATCATATAACTGATCAGATATCTCATTTCTTTTCAGAAAATAAAATTACAATCGTTAGAGAAACATTTGTATATTTTTTTAAAAAATATTACTTCCAACATTTCAAATACACCCTTTACCCCTTCTTATTTCTTCTTCCGTATTTTTCTTTTAATAATTTCTTTAGTAATCGCTCTTTGTGCACTTATGTGCCCTTTCTTTATGAATCATTCCTATAATCGATTTTCTTTTTACTTTATGACTAAATGTTTACATTTGATTTTATGAATTACGTCATACATATCAATGAATGTTTTATGAAATGTGCTCAAAGAATACAGCACTTTAAAGACGCCGATGTTTCTAAAAATGTTCGCATGTTTAAAATATTTTTCGTACAACAACTGGGCATTATTGTTAGCATGTCATGCATGCGCATTGACTTAAAAGAGATATACTTGGTATTCTATTAAGGTGTTAACCTGATAAAGCAAAATATAGACACAAACCATGTTCAAATCTGAAGTCTTATCTTAGTAAATGTTGAAACTTTTTAACATGGACGCCGTTCTTTGAAATCCAATTGTTAAGAGTGTCGAAATGAGTTTAAAGAGGACAGCTTGCCAGTACATATTTACTTTATCAAGTTTTTACTTTTTGATATGGCCACTTGAGAGCTTAAACCTTTGTACAAATATGAAATGTGGTCCTAGTACCATGCCAAATAGGATACCTTTGAGGAATGTCTGAGAAAAAACTATTTTTAGATATTATTAGAATAAGCTCGAATTAAAAAATCATGGGCCAGAGTTTGAATTATATTGATGGGTCATGAAGGTTTGAATTTGACTTTGGGTTGCTGTAGATTGCTGTTTATGGTTCATGTATATTAATTCGCTATCAGCTATCAATTAAGAAGTCATTACAATGTTTCGTCAGTGAATACATCACCCGCATTCAAAATTTTTGAATTCATTGAAAAACATTCATTATTCAATCAATAATATTTCAATGGGGTAGATAACAGCATTTTAATTATCACTGACACTTGCGCACAATATGTGAAGTAGAGGTGTATCTTTTGTATATTATGATCATGAAATTATGGAAATGAGCGACGATGTTTTTATATCTTTTATAGGTAGTCCTTAATATCAATTTTCTCGGAGTGGTGTACCAATTCTCTATCCTAATATGATAAGCGAATACCTAGAAGAGCTTTCCAACTATTTTTGTCACAGATGTGTTTTATTATAGCTCTTCATTAGTACTATGAGAAAGGTTCAGTAACTATGCATTAGTTTTTATTGTCACGATATTCATAACAATTTTGTTAAGTATAGTATGCACCCAGATTATTTGAATGCCATCAGGGCTGGCTGGCTGGCGAATAACGTGTTAATAAGAATTCAGTGTGTGAAATTCTAGATATTTAAAGCTTATAATATCCATACCATCATTAATAACACTTCTAAATGGTTGACAGAAAATGAAAAATGGTATTTCATGTATAGTGTTTACAATCCAAATTCTGAACAGGAAGGTAAAGGTAACAGTTTGCCTAAGGCAATGTGGTTTCAATTTAAACAAAAGCATGTTTAAAAGACAATGAAAGCGATCTACGCAGTAACTTCTATTCTATCGGAGGCAGAAGTCAAAATGATAGGGCCTGCGTCCGACAGGATGATTAATGGATTCCCTAATAATAAACATAGCCCTCATTTACTGTATTAATATATTCAACTGAGGCCATGCACAATGTTTCTGGTCGTTCTCTATGCTAGGAATGAGCCTTCCAACACAATTACTGTCATATCAACTTCAAAGGAGATTTAAACCAGGCATCAATAAGTATGTAAGGCATACCTCGTTTTCTGAGAGTTTTTTTCTAGTAATTTATGACAAGTCTTGTTCAGAGATATATTAGGTGACAAACCTTTTTAAATCCATTCAATTGTGAATCCTCAAAATCTTCATCAAACCATTATATTGAATTACAAAAACAATATATTGCTTATCTGAGGATGAAATCAAAGGGATGGGACTCATCTTTGGCACGATTGAACCTTAAGAAAAGCCACGTAAATCTAAGGTGATCTAACTACCTGGAAATACCTGTCTTAGAGTTAATCATGGGTAATTAATCATTGTCTCTTTGGGAGCCTTCAGCCATTCCTCAAAACCCTTTCTCATTTGTTATTTTTTCATCCGAATTGTTTAATGTAAATTAAGCGAATAATAGAACCATAGTCATACGATCTGAGAATATTTCCAAGTTTGGTTTTTTATGCAGTGAAACATAACGGACAGTGTGTTTATTGTTCTTCATCTCATGGGAAGTATCATCCTGGTAATAGTGATTTCTAAGCTGCGCTATAATGACTATGATTAATTATCGTAATTAAGCCAACGATCTCAGCAGAGGTATAGTCATGACTGAGCTAAACAATTGTTTTCATTTTTTTTAATTCAGCATTTATATTTCAACTTTTTTAACTTTTTAACTTTTTTAATTCATTAAATTAATTAATTAACATCTTTTATAAAAAGTGTTCCTTTTTGGGAAAATCATACAGCTTTTATTTTTAATTTTCACATGTTTTTGTTCTTAGAGACAATAAATAAATATGTATTACATTATATAATGTATACCTTTTTTACCAGTCATTTGATTACTATTAATATTTGAAATTTTTTTAATGTTTAAGTATAAGTGTGGAGCTGAAATACTGTGAAACATGTTCAATCTGGGTGCATCTTTAATTCGATTTGTCACCAGGCCATGTAGACCTAGTAGGAATGAAAATTGGCTTTTGAACATTTTCCAACATATTATTAAAAGAGAATCTATTTAATTGGTAAAATGTGTAATAGCTATGCTATATAGACTTGAATGTATAGACTTGTATATATATCATGTATAATGCATGTGTAGGATACAATAAAAAGGTAGACCAGGAATCTAGCACTTGTCTAAAACGCAGGAACTGTTATAAATCAACCTACTGTTAAATCACTGTATTCCTCCAGTCAAAAGGTATATGTAATATCTTGATGGGTCAAGATTTTAAATCAATACCTTCAAATAAACAAGCTGATCTTAGAACCATATTTCAAAAGCAGGGTGATTTTATGGATGGTAATTTTCCGTAAAGGATCTCAAACAAGATTCCAAAATGTTCCTCTTTGGTATTTAATGATATAATCCGACAGTGGTTCTCTTAATCCACCACCACCTTTCCACGTTGCCTATTTTGTTCATGTATTCATTTTTTTGGAAAGTGAGCCTGATTTTGTTCATTTATTTTGCTAAATACTACATTATTTACAAGTATACATATTTGATGACATTCCTGATCCGATCTTGATTAAGAATGGCTGATCAATTACATAAAAGAGTATCTCTTATACCCAAGAGGACAAATGTTATCACTATAAAGCCTTAGACAAAAGGATTAATTTAATAAACGCTGGAGTAAACCATACACACGAACGGAAAATATCAAATATTAATGACCCCGGAGAGTTCAGATTTCGTAGTGGAGTGTTTGAATTAACTATATCTGTTACACAAGCACGATGTAGGTGAAGTAGAATAGTCACAGTACAGTCTTACCATGTTACAAGTATTGGGCTTTAAATGCAATTAACAGAAATGTGATATTTATTGAATAGTAAGCATATGATGGTTAATATGATGATACGCTGTTATTGCTGATTAAAAAACGTATCACTTTGATAGCTTTTAGATATTACAGCAGAACAAGCGAAATTGTAGTTAGTATTATAACAGGAATACCTGTCAGATAGTAATACCCGTGACAGGTATTGGGAATATGTTGAGAGAAATAAAACTAACGTTCTAAGACTCGTAAACAATACGATAAAGGTACATCAATAGATCTAAGTGACAGTTCTTGATATGTTCTACATAAGAGATGATATGTTTTGAATGGTGAATATCAACATTTCTCAGCATATCAGATTCGTTGTAATATTAAACCCCATGTACTTAAATACAAAGTCGGCCAATATCAACAATTATGTATACGACATATGTAACTTATAAGTGAGTTATGTCATTCTCCACATGTCTTTTTAGTAGCCTTTACATCGGACTGAAGTGTTAATGAAATGTAATACCACTGTTATGAAATCAATTGTGATACAATGTTACATAATACTTATTCAGTTGTAAAACTCTGATCAGATAGTATAAACTGAGTCTCATCTGGCATGCAGCCTTTACTTCTATTGTCCCATGCTATTGTCACTTGTCCTACGAAAATACTCATCTAACAAGAATTGTTCTTGTATAAAACAACATCGCTAGCACATTATATACAAAGTGTGCCCGCTTTAAGTGCCATGTGGATTATAACCCGACATTTGTGCTAGCTTTTTGAAGTGATAATCTATTGTAACATAAAAGAATACAAGTTATTTGTATAAAAGCTAAATGGAACTAACGTTAGGTTGTAAAGCATGAGCAATGCACTTAAACTAATTAAGAAATCTGAAACATTGGATAATTTGGATATGATTTATGACTCCTATTCAACGCCATTCCCAAATGTCTAATTTCTAAATAGGACTATCATCATCGGTGAAGTGCAATCTGAGGCAAAACAATTACACGTATAAATTGTTAGTTCAGCATGGGGATCTGGGTTTCAAAGGTTTCAAAGATTACATTAAAATGAGTCTTCTGTGTAAAAAGAGCAAAAATAAAAATACAGGATTTTTAGGATTTTTAGCAAAGCTCATTCGAATCCCTGTAAACAGATTGCTCATCGTTTGCATATCTGATTAATTTAACAATTTTGTTTCATTTTGTGGACTCAATTGAATTGAATATAGAAAGTTTTATTTGTTATTAGCATTTAATAGTTTTTTGATGCGAGCGTTGTAGGCTTACATTATAATTAGAATATAGTTTACCATAGAATGGAAATTCATCACGCTTGATTAAGCAATTCACACATCTGCTGACCATTCTCAAAGCACTACACGATTCCAGATACATTACACATTGTAGTTATAAACACAACCAATGACTTGCAACATTTCGTGGTTCATTCTCTATCAATAACATAATTCACCTTCAAAGAAAACATATTTTAAAAATGAGCAATGATTTTGTCATAACATGAGCTAAAGTCAAAGGTTATCTTTAGTTGTCATTCAGACCTACTTTTATGACATTACACACAGAGAGAAATTTGGGTGTGATATTTTAATAATAAGAAATTTCACTTACAATCTGTGACTGGTTTAGGTACATTGCGTTTCACTTGCATCCACTTGTACTGTGCCACTGGAGATTGTTGCTGCTGTTGTCCCGTATCACATTGCTGTGGAGGCTGTTGTTGAATGTGATGATGCTCACTAGCCTGATAGGCTATCTGATGACTAGTTGGGGAGTTGTCGGGGTAAGGATATGCATTGCACTCCGCTAACTCACCCCCGGGGATCATAGCGTCCTCATAGTAAAAGTTCCCCTGGGGCGGTGACGGTTGTATTGGGTAGCTATGCGTCCCATGTTGGTAGACATTAAGGGACAGAGAAGTGTTGTGAGGGGTCCCACTTAAATGGGCCTCTACTGAAAGTTGCTGTGGGTGTTGATGCTGGTGATGATGGTGATGATGATGAGATAAATTGTTTTCCGAATATCCACCTCTGTACGAGTCTGAATCTATCCCTGCGTTGTTTATATTAGCGTAACAAGAATATGGTGCCGTATCTGTTGTAAAATTGTTACTATAAGTATTGTTATCCAAGTTACATATCGTGTAGTCACTGGCTGAATTCATACTAAGTTTTTTACGTCCTTTACCACTGATGCCTCACAAATTAGCTGTCGATGCCGAGATAAATCTGAAATAAATGAAGGTAAATTACTTGTCCAACTTGACAGAATTATGAGGGTTAAAGATACCACGTGACTTCAGCCAGCCAATCACGGTGTATACACTACGGAGGGAAAGTTTTGCAGACTATGATGATGGATGGGGTGACATTTGCCTAAATTGCTTTTTTGAGAAACCATTTGAGAATTTCTTCTTTAGATACTAAGTTGACCAATTAAGAATTGTAATATCGCAGTTTGTACACCAATAAGGATTGTAAATCACGTAAACAATCGTCTAAAACACCGTTTAGTTGTTGCAGTTGTTTCTATAGCAACTGATGCAGGTATTCAATAGGCTGACGACTGGGATCCTCTCGCATTGGATTAAAGGTACGTTGTCTTTGAATCTCATATGATTAGTTCCGAATCTCGGCCGATTAGTTCCGAAGCCCAAAGTTGAATTTAAAATGGTGGTCATCAGATGAGTGCTCGTGTAAACGTTTGTATTTTATATCCCATTTGTAAAACGTCCTTTCAACTCCACTTGTTCATGTGCAAATGATATTAGCAAAGCCATATTTGCTGTTCAAAGGGTGTCAACAGCCGGCAACATGATTTTCAATACCACAAAAGAAATTGAATAGGACGGTACAAAATGTGATTGCTTATTTTACACCTCTTACCTTAATAAGATGTCTACAAGGTTCTACCTTACATCATTACAATAAGAGAGATCATATCAACCGTAGGCTATTACCACATTGGGAGGTGATCATTTTAATTGATTTTCAATTGAATGTGGAATACATTTAACTCCATCAAAGGGCGCTTAGGTAAATCGAATAATGATGAGGGGGAGGGGAAAAGCCTTTCATCTTTTACAATATACCGCCACCACAGACTTTTCAAAAAACAACATGGCCGCTTTGACGTTCTTAGTAATATGCATGCATTTTAGAAGAGTGTTTTTAATATATCACTGTTGATTATTTTGTCTAAATCTACATCTAATTGAATGTCACCATAATATCATTGTCATTATCATTGTCATTATTTCCCTAAAATGAACATGAAAGTCTGACAGGTCGTGTCGAAGTTAAATTAGATATGATTATTTGATAATTGAGGTACATTATTTCAGGAGTCAGTTCAACTTACTTCGGTTCAGACTGCGTTCACATTCCTCTCCGCTCCCGTCTTAGTTATGGTTACTGTATTTACACGGCTGACTCTACATCGACATTGTTTTATTAAGTCCACATTTGCGTCAAACATCTATACCTCGAGTCCGGTAATAGAACATTTCAGGTCAATTCAATTTACATTTAATATTCTTTTGTTTAAAGATAATGAGTGATGAGAAATCGTTTTATTGCTGGCACTATTATTTTCCTTTATTGAAATAGTTTGCAACACATTGCCAGTGTGTCAGAGGTCTTCGGTATGTCGTTTAACGGTACACTTCCTCGTTGTTGACTCTTTATTTCATATTGCATAGTCGTAAGTCGTACTAATCTCTATCTCTATAACAATTTTGATTATATTTGAATGAACCCTAAAATTATCGATATAGGTGTGCTCTATAGTTTTGTTTGGTATCATTTAAACAAGTTTGTGGTGAACTTTTATCAAGGCGACTTTCTTGATCAGTTGTCATGTCGGAGGCAAGATGAAAGGTTCCGTTGACAGTTTGCAGACCTAAAAGAGACGCTAGTATTGTAGTCACTTGTCAACTTATAACTAAACAACCTCTGCATACAAGGGAGAATTGGAGTACGAGATTATTTGGAATGCCTCTCAAATCATCAGGTCATAAGGTTACTACATGTGTATATGATAGTCAAAAATTAACTTTGTATACATCCATCACTTTTGAGCCGAGTTACCTTTTTGATTTCTTTTACTACCACATTAAAACTTGTGTATATTGGACATTTTTTGTTCACTATAAGTAAGTGTAATTGACACAGAAAGTCAGTAGAGTATGTGCGGACGAAGGGTGTCCACTATAGACAGGTGTTCACCAGGGAGAGGTGTCCACTATAGACAGGTGTTCACCAGGGAGAGGTGTTCACTAGGACAGGGTTTACTGCATATGTTTTTGAGAAGCTATGGCCATTATTTTACATTTATGCTTTGTTGGATATGTTTGGCTACATATTAAGTTAAAAAAGATCAATTTTACGTACTGAATGTGTGTAAATCCTGTGACTTTGTAGTTTGAAATTGTTTGTGTTTACTATTGTTTTTATTTTTAATACTGCAGCTGAACACACAGTCTCATGTTTAGCTGAATTCCTGAAAAATCTATCAGTATTAAAATGTATTAATTTGTTCCATGTATTGTAATGACTTCTGTATGAATAACATATCCTATGGGTTTTGGATTGCGATACTGATGCCTGGCTACGGGGGGGGGGGGAGGGGAGGTGTAAGACATTGTTTCTTTCTGCGTTAGACCATAATTTGATATTTTAGTTTTTTCTGATGTCTAGTTTTTTCATCCGGGCATGCTTGGTTGTTTTTATTTGGTATTCTTGCATTTGCTGCGATTTTATTTGGTTGGTAAGATACTTATGTAAAACATGTACTCAAATAAGAAAGTTATTTCAACCGCTTACTACACAATGTAAAGACGTTCTGCCCCTCTGTAGATACTACTAGGTCCATGGTGATAGTAATTTTGTCGTATTGTTATGTCACCACCCCAAGTGGTGACATATTTTTCCAACTTTTTTTGTGGACGGCGGTTGGTGTTCGGCGTTCGGCATCTGTAACCCATGGCGTCAGTAATAAATGGCAGGTGGTGAGATTTTGCATGTTAATGCCTTGTTTTACGTTTTACTAATGCAATTCTCTATGTTGGTAGATGACAGGGTATCCCTGGATGTTAGATATGTAACATATTACACAAATTGTTACAAGTAGATAGAAAACTGAGGGCATCAGGCCGCCACGGGCCGCCACGGGCCCGGGGCTTTCAAAATCTCTGAAGATGAGCAGGAGATATTGAGAGATAAATTAATTGAATGGGGATTAGGAGATAAATTAATTGGATGGGGCTTTCATCTTAAATGGGTGAGAGATAAGATACGCATGACATCATTGTTATCTTAAATGGGTGAGAGATAAGATGCGCATGACATCATTGTTATCTAAATGGGTGAGGACTGAATTTTAAAATGGAAGCATAACAAATCAATAACACAACATTTTTGTTTGATATATACATTATATCCAATCTTAAATTTATTTTACAATTTTCTTTACAATTGATGTAATATTAACATTTTTAAGGTAGAAATGATAGATTCTACTACAAAATCCATGTTATTAGACACACTGAAAGTGTTTACAATTTCATCTAAACTATACCCTAAAGTTCTCAATAATATATACATGATACAATATTGTCCACAATTTGAACTGTTCAAACCTTGAACACGAATGGGATTTACAAACATTGCATCTCCATATTCTTTTAATCCATAAAATGTTTCTGTATGACCTAAGGGGTCAAAAAATTCAATTTGTGAATCTCTATAATAACATACCCAATGTTGCCCCATTTCATAGTGAGGTCTAGTATTTGCTATAAAACATTTTTTATCCATGATAATAGATGGTAATTGATCACTTGCAAATACTCCTAGAAATCTATGCTTAGTATCTGGATGATTTGATAAAATAAAACTTATATCTTGTGAATTCATATTAGTACTGAATAATATTGCGGGATGCGTCAACCTCAAATTTTCCCGGAAATGTTGCCATTAAAATAATGTTTAATGATTCAGGTGTTGCCTCAGAAAAATGAATGTCAAGTTTTACATTTCCCTTTTTAAACAATGGAAGAATTTCACCATTTGAATATGTGTCTTTATAGCCTATATCAAACTTAAAGATACAAAAACCAGATTTAAAATCATCTATGCTTATATTTAACCCATCATTGTGTTCAAGATCTGAAAACAATTGTGTAAACTCATGAACATATTTGTCTTGTGAATCATTTGAGCCAAACTTAGGTTGAAATGCTCTAAATGGAGTAGGGACATTATCTACTGAAATTTCAACATATGAAGTGTTTGCATGAATGAAATTGTAAGGATTAAGTTTATAGTTTCCTTGATATGCTGCATTTTTCACAATGACACAATACAATCGTGTAGGTACACGTCCTTGAAATAAATCATCTTGATTAAAAGAATATATATTACTAGGTAATGAGAGTACTTTCATTTCATTTCTATCATAAGTATATACAGCATTTCTCTCCTGTAATTCAGTATTATATGCTTGTAAAATACCATTTGAAACTGTAATCATTGGAACTTCTAAATGTACATCTAAAAGTTTGACTTTATATTGTTCATTTGAATCAGTCATAAGTCTAAAACTGTTTTTTGTATGATTTAGTTTTATCTTCACTTCAACACCATTAATGAGATATTTGTTGATGCTGAAGATATCTTCATGGAATTTACATTCCATATCAACTACTTTTCCACCTTGAGTTTTCACAAATCTTTGTGTTAGTCCCATGTTGTTAGAGCCTTGTCCCAGAGGTTTTGTTGCATCCATTCCATTAGGTGGATATATCCCATTGTCCATATAAAACAGACATGCCGTACCTTCAGATTCTAATTTTCCTTTACTAGATGTTAACAATGTTTTCAACATACTTTTATAAGGATAGTTTAAGACAGATGATGCCATGTTATTTTGTTGTAATGATATCTCAACCTCACTCCATAAAGAATGAATCCAATTATTTATTGGTCCATATGAATCATAATCTGTCAAATCCACATATTTCGGTAATGAATTATCTGCTTTCAATACCTGCGCTTTGACAGATAGCTTTACATTTTGAAGATCTATAAACTGTGAAGTGTTGTTTGGTAAGATGAACTCTATTGGAGACTCACTGTCTATTGGATTGATAGGTCTGTACTCAACATAGTTCCTTCTAACAACACTACTTTCTGTTGGAGGTGTGTTAAATAACTGTAATTTCCCATTCATTACATCAGCACTGTTCATGAGTTTATATGCCATTTTTAATTATTTGAGTTGAATTTACTTTTTTCTTTTCTGTGATGTCTTTGTTGACCTACGTTTGTATTCCTTTGGAGATTTCTTATTGACTGAAGACTTACTATTGCGTTTGCTTTTATATACATGTTTTTTCTTTCTAATTGTATCACGTGACTTGTTTGACTCGTGTGACTCGTTTGAGTGCTGTCTTTTAAGTGTAGCTTTTGCTCTCTCAACGACAGCTTGCATTGGAGATATTATTTGTTTCGGTTCATCTTTAATATCATCTTCACTTATCCAACCTCTTCCTGTTTGAGATACTTTCAATCTATTCTGTCTACCAGCTCTAATAAGTTTCAACCAGTGTTCTGGTCTGTCTACATATGGTACTAATTTCATGATACTTGTTTCAAATGAAGTGTACACGTCAAAGGTTTGTCTTTAAATGACACATGTGTGTTACCATTTCCTCTTATATAGACATGTATGCGATCAAACTCCCAATTCCCGACATCCTTGTATAATACTTGATTAAAACTCAACCAAGAATAATCCTTTGGAATACGCCTTAAGATTGGTTGTACATTTCCATCAACAACACTTTCTATGCATAAATCACAAAACACATCTAAATACAATAATGCATCATTTGAATCCAATGGTGGTAACTGTATGTCAACAAGTCCTATTCTCCATTTTCCTTTAAGATAAAAGTATCTTGGTAACTTTACAGTAAACTCTGATGCTGTATTATTGGGATAAATATTGGTTGAATCAGTGCTACTTAAATAAAAATAGATGTCTTTATCCATTGTTTAAACTGATGTACTAAAGTCTGTGTCACTATTTGATTTTTGTATTATCTCATATAACTTTGCAAACTTTGTTATATTATAATTCTCATGCTTCTGTTTTTTCAGATAATAAAACATCAATATCATAAATGAAACACTTGTAGATCCAATTGCTAAATTACTAATTGATATTTCTTCAATTGTTAATATATTTGAAGGTGTTGAAGCACTTATTCGTGCTAATGATGTTGTATTTTCTTCTGCCAAGAGCACTTTAAAAATATATACTAATATACAGTAGAACCTCACACTTTGATACTTCATTGCTAAATAACAAAAATAAGATGTACTTCAACATTTATATAAATATCAACATAACATAAAATAATGTTTTTCTATTTATTTTAAGCATAATATACAATATTTACAAGGTTTTGATATCAGTAGCTTTAACCCAAGAATCAAATTTCTTAGGCCAATATTTCCAATGTACCAAGTATTCTTTTTGACCTTGTTTTGTGCGTTGTTTTA